CATTTCTAAGAAGGTTATATAAAAATTCTCAAAAAATGCAGTGATATATCGTCGCTTGAGAACTTGTTGGATCTACAGACCCGAGCGCACTCAGGCCAATATCGACTCTAAGCAATTTATCTATAAGTCGACTTTCGCTAGAGCTGATCTGATACACATGCACTATGAAGAAATGACGTAATCTCCAAATTTTACAATAGTAGATCTAATTTAAATTTTGTATCGTTCGTTTACGGTTTATGAATCCGTGTTAAAAAAATCAACAACATTTTCCAATTGATACTTAGTATAGGTATTGGAAGCATGTTAAATTGTTAGTCAAAATTTATCCGTTCATGCCCCCAGGAGTTGTCAATTTTGTCGAATAAATGTAATTTAAATGTTAAAAAGTAGCTTAGTCCTGAACATATGGTTTATAAATACGGTATTGAGAGTTCTCAACTTTAGATGTTTCATTTTTTCAGATTTCAATTTTGGAACATTTCAATTTTCCGATGTTTCAATGATACGATTTCTCAATTTTTGTCCTCTTGAATTTTACGATTTTGCAATTTTTCAAATTTTCACGTTACTAAATTTTCATTTTTCCAATTTCTGAAGGAATCTTTTTTTTTCCATGTCTCGACTTCCTAAAGTTCCGATTTTTCATTTCTTCAATTCTTCAATTTTTCGATTTTTTAGGTTTTTGATTTTTCAATTTTTCGATTTTCTAAGCTTACGATTTTTCGACTTTTTATTTTAGTTTTTCGATTTATTAATTTTCCTATTTTTTAATTTCTCAATTTTTTGGACATTTCTTCCAGTTTTGGGGTTTTTCAATATTTCGAATTTTCGACTTTTCGATTTTTAGACTCCTGGATTTTTGCGTTTTGGATTTTCAATTTTTCGTTAAACTTTAGATTTTTTAACTTTTCGACTGTTGTATAGTTCGATTTCTCAATGTTTCAACTTTTAGATAATTTAATTTATTTCGGCTTTAATTTATTCATTCATTCATTTATTTCTATTTTAATTTTATTTAAGTTAAGTTACTGTTCTTATGTTTCATTATATTGAGATCTTTGATTATTTATGCATTTAATTTATTAATTTGTTATTTTCTTTGATTCTGAATTGTTGTCATTGTTTTTATATTCTTTATAATTGTCCTGTAACTGGAATGTGTAGTTCTGTTGGGCAATAAACTTTATTTATTTATTTATTTATTTATTTATTTATTTATTTACTTAATTTTTTAATTTTTAAAATTCTAGGTTTTTGGATTTCTCGAGTTTTCAGTTCTTCTATATTTCAATTTTTCAATTTTTTGATTTATCGAATTCAGATGTTTCGATTTCCATTGATCAATTTCTCGATTCATCAATTTTTCAATTTTTAACTTTTCTTCTGGGCTCTCGACTCCTCGATTTCTCGATCCTCTGATTTTTCAATTTCTCGATGTCTGAGTTTGTTAATTTTTCGAGGTTTCGATTTTTCAGTTATTTGGTTTTTCAATTTTCCAATTTTTTAAATTCTGGAGTTTCGATTTCTCGATTTGTCGATTTTTCAGTTTTTTGATTTTTAAATTTTAGATTTTCGAGTTTTTATTTTTTGATGTTTAGATTTCTCGATTTTTCAATTTTGTGATATTTTGATTGTTTAATGTTTGAAATTTTAGATTTTTCGATTTCTCGATTTTTTGATTTTTCAGTCCTTTAAAATTCCTATTTTTCAAATTTTCAAATTTTGACGTTGCTAAATTTTCAGTTTTCCGATTTCTCAATTAATCTATTTTTGATTATCCCATTTCTCGACTTCTACAAATTTCGATTTTTCATTTTTTCAATTTTTCGATTTCTCAATTTTCCAATTTTTTAATTTCTCAATTTTTGGATATTTCCTTCAGTTTTCGGATTTTTCAATATGTCGTTTCTTCAAGTTTTCGATTTTTCGACTTCTGGATTTTTCAATTTTTTATTTTTTGGATTATCTCGTTTTTTAAACTTTAGATTTTTCAATTTTTCAGCTTTTCGATATTTTAAATTTTCAATTTTTTAAAAATTGTAGATTTTTGGACTTTTCGACTTTTCGATTCCTCGAGTTCTCAGTTTTTGAATTTTTCGATGTTTCGATTTTTCGATTTTTTTCTTTTGGGTTTTTCGATTTTTCGATGTTTCGATTTTTGAAATATCCGATTTTTGAATTTTCCATTTCGAGTTTCGATTTCTCGATTTGTTGATTTTTCAGTGTTTCGATTTTTAAATTTTAGATTTTCGAATTTTGATTTTTTTGTTTTCTTGATGTTTAGATTTCTCCATTTTTCAATTTTACGATATTTTAATCTTTCGATGTTTTAAATTTCAAATTTTTCGATTTTTCAGTTCTTCAATATTTTTTAATTTTTCAAATTGACGTTTCTGAATTTTTAGTTTTCCGTTTTCTCAATTAATCTAATTTCGATTTTCCCATGTTGCGACTTCCCAAAGTTTCGATCTTTCAGTTCTTCAGTTCTTCAATTTTTCGATTTTTCAGGTTTTTGATTTTTCAATTTTTCGATTTTTTAAGTGTGCGATTTTTCGACTTTGCTTTTTTGACTTTTAGATTTCTCAATTTTTCAATTTTTTAATTTCCCAATTTTTGGACATTTCGTTCAATTTTGTGATTTTTCAATTTTTCAATTGTTCAATTTTTCTTCTATTTTTCATTCTTTCGATATTTCACTTTTGGGATTTCTTAGTTGTATTTCGACTTTTCAATTTTCCGAGTTCTGAATTTTTCGATTTCTCGATTTTTTACTTTTTGAATTTTCAATTTTTCGTTTTTTAAACTTTGGATTTTTCAATTTTTCGACTGTTTTATATTTCGATTTCTCAATTTTTCAAGTTTTCGATATTTTAACATTTCAATTTTAAAATTTTAGGTTTTTCGATTTCTCAAGTTTTCAGTTCTTCTACATTTCAATTTTTCAATTTTCGGAATTTTTAAATTTTCGTTTTTTCAATTTTTTATCATTCGATTTTCCAATTTTTCGATGTTTCAATTTTTCAGTTATCCGATTGTTCAATTTTCGATTTTCAAATTTTTAATTTTTCAATTTTTATTTTTTTGATTTCTTGATGTTTAGATTTCTCCATTTTTTCAATTTTACGATATTTTAATCGTTCGATGTTTGAAATTTTAGATTTTTCGATTTTTCAGTTAATTTTTCAAATTTCGACGTTTCTAAATTTTCAGTTTTCCGATTTCTCAATTAATCTAATTTTTGATTTTCCCAAGTTTCGACTTCCCAAAGTTTCGATCTTTCAGTTTTTCAATTCTTCAATTTTTCAATTTTTCAGGTTTTTGATTTTTCATATTTTCGATTTTTTCAAGTGTGCAATTCTTCGACTTTGCTTTTTTGACTTTTCGATTTTTCAATTTTCCAATGTTTCAATTTCCCAATTTTTGGATATCTGGTTCAATGTTGTGATTTTTCAGCTTTTCCATTCTTCAATTTTTCTCCTATTTTCCAATTTTTCGATATTTGAGTTCTGGAATTATCGAGTTCTCGACTTTTTACTTTTTGGATTTTCAATTTTTCGTCGTTCTTGAAACCTTATATTTTTCAATTTTTAGACTGTTTTATACTTCGATTTCTCAATTTTTCAACTTTTCGATATTTTAACTTTTCAGATTTTTAAATTTTAGGTTTTTCGATTTTTCGAGTCTTCAGTTCTTCTATACAACTTTTCAATTTTCCGAATTTTTAAATTTTCGATTTTCCAATCTTTATTTTTTTTTTCATGTTTAGATTTCTCGATTTTTCCATTTTTCAGTTCTTCAATTTTTCTGTTTTTCAATTCTTCGATTTTTTAATTTTGCCATCTTGGTTTTTCGATTTTAAAAATTTTTCCACTTTTCGACTTTTAGATTTCTCAACTTCTCAATTTTTTTCAACATTATCAGTTTTGGGAACTTTTCAATTTCTGTTTTTTTTTTTTAATTTTTCGATATTTCAATTTTCGATTTTTAAAATTTTTGATTCTTCGAGAATTCAATTTTTCGGTTTTTCGATCACTAAGAGCATGTCGTGTTATGCTAAAACTAAAAGTAAAAAATAACTACCAAAATTGTGACCAGAAATATGTAAAAATTAATACAAAATAGAACACAATGCTTCTAAAATATAAAAATAACTGCACTTTCCCGAAAAAAATCTACTGCATGATAATTCTTAGTTAAACAAAAAAATAGTTGCATGTCAAAATCGAATGAAACATCTGAGATGTGATATATGTTTGTAAATAAAAGCATCTAAATAATAACTATTTCCCGCAGAAATTCTGAACACTTAGAGTCGATAGTGGCCTGACCGCGCTCCGGTCTGTGGATCAAACAAGTTCTCAGGCGACAATATACGTCATGATATAGATCTCGACTTGCTGATTACAAAAATATAGTGTTTGAAATTTTTAAAAATTTCGATATTTCTACTGGCTATATTTTGTTACAGAATTTGTAACATAAATCCTGTGACGTGTAAAAACGGCTTATAAATAATGAAAAGGGACAGAATGTTGAAAGGCATCAGGTTTATGGAAGAAAATGACTTGTTATAACCATACTTAAAAATCGCTTTGACGCATAGACGAATACAAAGATTTTATCTCCGTAATTGCGAAATATGACTAGCTTGTGGCTGCAGCTCCATCTAGTCCTGTATCTGAGCCTCTCGATTAACCCCGTGAAATCCAGAACCTGCAACCAAACACCGCCCGTCTTTCTTCTGCAGGAGTGAAGAGCCGCGGTGGTAAATCGATCGAATCCCTTGCGGTTCCTGCGGTCGCTGCATCCTCGCGTCTCCTGCAGATCCTGCGGTCTTTCGCAGGAGTCAAATGCAGAAATATCCGTGGGCTCCGGCCTGTACCCGAAGTGAGTGACTTCGCTATTCTCACATACGCGCTAGCCAATGAAAAGCCGCGTCTCACGGTCGAGTCGTTCGCCAAGACGCTTCGAACTCTTGGAGCATTCAGTCTAGTAGAAGACTTTCAAGTGAGTAGCAGTGGCCCAAAACTTACAGTGGAGTGATCAGGGGCCCAATAGCCCTGGCAACGTACAGCCATGGCGACTGGTAAGTACCCAAAGCCCACTAACGCCCATCGCCGGCCAACTAAAACTAAGTGTTAAGTGAGACATTAACAGCCGCTTCAGTGGACCAGGACTTACTCTAGTGCCATTAAAATCTCGTGAATCAGTGCTTGTGGTTAAACCGAAGACTGCTAGCTAAATACACAAGTGTGGATTTAAAAAAGCGCCCTGTATTGGCCGGCGCCACTAACATCGCCTGCTGGGACTTCGACGCTGCGGCAAGCGCGAAACCCAACTTTCTCGCCCCGGGTCCCAGCTGGCTCCCGAAACTCCAAAAACGGCCCCAAATATGACAGCGTTGCAGCTGCGGTATCGTTTCTAGGTCCGCTCAGATCGGTTCTGACGTAAACACTTTCTCTGTGCGCGGGGGCGACTCCTGCATATGTTTCCAATTTTGGGCCAAACTCGCACAGGTGGCTACACCCAACGACCCAAACCCGACCCGAAACGACCCTTGCACCTCGACGTCAAAAGCCCCCGATTTCGAACGATCCGTTCGTGAAAGGTTCGGATATCGGTGCGTGAAAGTCGCGCAAATATTGACCGGACTTGAAAAACTGGACTGGAGTGTTTTCCAAACTGAAAAGCCAGACGTGGGCTCCGTTTCTACCTTTAACATTAAGCGGCAAGGCCGCTGGTCTAAATGTTATCCACATTCACGTTATTATTCCTCGAGCCCCCGAAGTCATTTGCATTCTGCTAAAACAGAATGCATTTACGTCGAACGCTCTAGCATCTGCCACATTACTTTTACTGACATAACGCATGATGGAATTCTCGATAAACTTTGTTACATAAAAAACTAAGTATGACGAGAGGAGAAACTCGTGCCGGGTTTAATCAACAATAAGCCGAACTTTATTATGGGGCTTCATTGTTGATAGGCACGTGTCGATTTTTTAGACTCTTTTGGTCAAAATTACTTTCTCTCATTATTCCAGACAGCTTTCTACGTTGGCTTTGGCGCATTTTTCAAACTACGGAGGGGTTACAAAACTCGAAATGTCTTTGGTTCTTTCTGGTCCGGTTGACCTCGCGCTTGCGAAATCTGACTCACCGCGAATGCTACGGTCTGGAAATGGCAAAACGACTAACAGAGACAGAATCAAATTTTTGTAAACCCTGTATACATAGTTGGAGCTCCTCAAGGCTCAGCGACTCCTCGTTATTTTGTACTTTTCTCAACGACGTTCTTTTATGTCATTATAGGTTTTAGCCGTTACGTGTAGTCCGCGAGGGGCGGACTCATGCGGTATCTCCCAACACGCTGTTAACACAACTTATCTAGCAGGTAGACGATAAAGCCGCTCCGGCGAGTACCTCACTTGTTTAATTTCGTGGATCATTAACCCCACACAGTGTTATATTATCCCCGAGAATATCAATCAATTTCTCCCATAAACAACCATTATCCAATTAGGAGTGCAGCGGCTATGTAATTTCGGCGCGCACTTGCTCCTTTTTTATTTACACATTTTTGGCGGCTGCATAAATCTTCGGCTTTTAACATACCCGGACCATAAAAAGTTATTGCGGGATGCGAACCGACGTCCTAGAGAGTTCACGGAAGAGCATAAAACTTGTGTCTGAGCTTTTTATGACGCGGATTTTATGGAATGCGTGGAAATAAAAGCAAATTGTGATTTAATAGCTTCGAGTCTTAATTAGTTTGGTTTTATTGGTGGCGGATGGGGCAGATGGAAGACGGGCGAAAAAGGACGGAGGCGACATCTAGCGGGCTGTGGCGAAGCGGGATGGTGGGGGCGCCTCTAGTAACAAACGTAATACAATGAGATACAAATTAATAGTCGTTGATAGAGTCCAGATTTGCGGCTACTGGAGGAGCGATAATTAATAATAAGACAGCACAATCGGTCGTTAAAATGCACGTTTTGTTACATCATAGACACCGATCATATTAACGTAATTGTGGTGGATCTGAGATTTGTACACACGCGATTTGAATGCAAAATAGCAATGTTTAACAAATTAGCTTACGTCATTATAGGCATTGTGAAAATACTACAATATTTAATTGAGTTTATAAAAAGAAAATTATAGTAAATTTTCGCGAAATGATGTCACCCATGCTCAAGAACTCAAGCGTGTAAATTGTCGACTATTACACTAATAACACAGTCGCAACCCAAACAAACGTGCTTTGTTTAATTTTTTGTTATAAATAATATTCCGGGATTTTTATAATTGTGCATCACTTGCAAATACGACGAATAACGGTGGACGTCAGTGTGATCCTTGAGGAACTAAAAAAAAAACGGTCTCTCTGTGTAAACATTTTATGTTTCTATTATTACCTTTCTCTTCTGAACTATCAACTCATTAAAATAATTACAAAATTACGGAACCTCCAACACGTGTCGATGGTATCGGACCAAATCCGCGTGTAAACGCCCAAAGCTCGACGGGTATCCGCGGCATCCGCTTAATCTGATCAGGGCCAGATATGCCCATAAATTCTCCAAATAAGGGGATCAGTCTTTAGTAAACCCTCCTTACTCCATAAATCACCATCCTGTGTGGTAAATCCATACAAATATAAATCCCATCAAGCCACTACTCCTCTTTCAGTGAATTTTCTATAATGATCCGGGCAATTTTGTTAAGTAGTCCGGTTTCGTAATTGTCTCTCGAGATTACTTCCTTTAAGCGTGACGAAATTCCTCGAATCGCGTTTTTACGGGCGCAAATTGATAAACTTGGCTGCTTTTACGTAAAATTACGGGTAATCCGACCGCGGTTGCCAATTACTGGTCTATTTTGTAAATCTGGTCATCTGCTTAGTCACTACAGTTGCCAAGACTTGATGAAACTAGGACTTTGTTGATTTAACAATTATCAAAGCGCTGGGAATTGATAAAGTGGCCTTGCTGCAATTTGCAAGTCTGAATAGGTTTATGGGTTTTAAAAGTCAGCGAAATGTCACCGAGACCTCTTCTATTATAATTATCCCATAAAAGTGAGATGTTAATAAAACGAAACTTTCGTTTCCTTGGAAAGCGGCTCTTGTATGTAAGTTTTAATTACGAAATTTGGATCGAGTAGGCGGTGGCGCGATTGCCACATTTCCTTGCTGGACCGTAGGTACTTACCTTGAAGTACCCCCTGAAAATTGAAATCTCGCACTGATTCCAGTGCGTCTTCTCATAATTTCTTACATCATTGTTTGAGCCCAGTTATAACACCGTATTGAATCACCTGAGAACTGTACCATAGTGGGTAAAGTGGGACATGGAGGCGAGATGGTAATCACTTTACCGGCTGTGCCACTTCCAAAACCAATACACTCTGAAGCTTTCATCACTAACCAAACACCTTGTGCAAAAATTTGCACTTCTTTGGGTGTCACATTCTGTACCTGCAAGCTCTTGTTTGCTCTAGACCCACCGTCAAGTGTGTGCAGGTATCCAACGACTAAAAAACAACGAAAACCCAGCATGCGGCGTAATTATGTCTGAACCCCTACGGGGAAAAATGGCCAAGCCATCAAAGGGTGTGAACATAAAAAATTTGCGCTCATGATATAATTAGAAAAGCTCTCGGCATGACGCAGTGGTGATGTTTGAAACTTTTATGTTGGCGAGCATGAAACCGAGTTGACATTTAACTAAGTCCGGTTTACAAAGCACAAGCACGGTCACGGCCACAAAATTTCGACGATTTAATTGTGGCTTGGATGTTTTTGATGGGTGAAAGTGACCAGATGGACGCTCTTGTCTCAACTGAGTTTTTCTTTGATGTTTTGTTCAAAAGGTCATCTTGCATTCTCTCGGTTGCGAAATCACGTTATTATTGATTGAAGAGGCAAATGTCAACCCACGACTGGATTATAGTTGCACTCGAACAACACTTAACGTCGATTTGATTTTATTCGAAGTTCCATCAGTCAAGATTAAGATCAACAATATCTGCTCGGCGAAGTTACAGGAAGACTTTTATTTTGCTCGTTTTAATTCGTGTAGTTGCTAGTTCCGGACAATTTCATTTAATTACGACGAGGGTCGTTTAACTTTTACGGGCACTGAGGAAACAAGAAACAACGAACTTTGTAGTGCCAACAACGCGAAAACAAATATTGCAGCTGGAAGTCGTAAAAAGCTGATTCAGATCCATTTCGATAAATATTTGAACGCGTTTATTAACACTCGAGTGGTAATCAAGAAATCCAGATAAACCAGATGGTTTCCTGACCGACGACGGATGGCCGGATGCCGAAAAAACGGCCCCAGCAAAGCAAAGAGCGGGTTTCGTAATGTATACTATACCGGGTGATTTAATAACGTTTTACCGAATCGGCGACTACAATCTCGTAAAGGTCGCCGCGGTATCTAGAGCATCGTTCGCAATCGCAGAATAATTCGGAATTTCTCTCGAATACCGCAGTTTCAGGTCAGCGGTTTGATTAAAATTTCGGCGAAATAGCAAAAATGTGTGCGTTTCTGGTTACGCCCACGTTTCACGGGCAACGTCCTTGCTGTAAATCCGCCATTAAAATACACGGGCGTTTAAAAGTCATTCTTTTTGATAATGGTCGGGTTATCTAGCGAGACAATAACATATTACAACAATGAAAATCGAGATTATACCGTGAAATAATTACAATTAAGATTTAACAACCGAAAAATGCTTGAAAAGTGCTCAAAAGAACCGCAAAATAAGTCGAGAGTGTAATTGACAATGTCCCGCTGTCGCGAAATTGATATTCGTTTGTTGGGATTTGCGATGGGAATGGATGCTGGCGTAGACCACCCACCGATAGAAAAGCGATGGAGTAATCCGACTGAAAAAAAAACGAGACACTCGGTATATATTTTTGCTTGAGGTCAGTAGGTGTGGCGTAGGAATAAGTCGATAATATGATGGATTAGTCAATTTTGTTTTTGATCAGAAGCTGAATCGGGTCGAGGATTAAATGTTAATTGACACCTCTTGTCTCCACGATAACCCGTTTTAACAAAGTCTCGCTTCAAAAATTTGAAATTCAAAACTGAAAGTGAATCCTACACTGTGACCCGATATGGAAAACGTACAAAAAGAAGAAAACTAGAAATGTTAAATTTGACATTTACATGTGATTATTTATGGCCACCCGAGAATGGACAATAATTTTTCCCGAAGCGATTTATCGTCCAATAAAATAGAGACTGCGCTCTATAAATAAACAAAAGAAGATAAATTTAAGCAAGCTTAAGAGTGAAATTGAAGTTTAAACCCGAACTAATAACTTTTCGCCCATGCTTGACTTTTACATTACGCAAGGTTAAACCGTTACCCACTCAGAACCGAAAATCCCGAATTTCGCATTGCAATTAACTGTTTCTATGCAATTAGCTCGTTATCGAAAAGCCAAACACTCCCATCTCCCACCAGCCCATAAATCACACCAACACCACCCAAAATATTCCAAACTCGAATCGGTGAAACTCCGCAAGCCGCACTTAACTGTAGAACAGGTTTGTTCTAATAATATGCAAATATGTGATTTTTCACTTCGACAAAAACAACAACCTAACGAAATGTGAGCTTTCCATAATCAAATTTCAAGCACGAGATAAAATCTCGCCTCCACCTTATAATTGTAAGTTAGGTCAGGGGCGTAGGAATTTAAGCCGAGAATCCCGATGCGCCCAGATAAAAAGTGATTTATTTTTCGACTTGCACATGTTCGAATTAACAAAACCTCGTCCTTGCGGATATGCATTCGAAAAAATCGTGAAAGGACAATACGAGAGCGACCTTATCGAAAGCCCGCTTTACACGCTACAAGCGAGCCGTACCAACTGCAAGAAGCAACAGTTGGTACGACTCGTTAAAAAAGCGTAAATTACCTCACACAAACAATTTAATTCATTCATCGGACTAGTTAATCGCACGCAAACTTTCTATTAGTTTTTTGCGTAACACGCATTTCTCCAGTCCAGTTAATCGATCCCGTGACTTGGGTTTTTCGTTGTGAGAATGACTCTGAGAGTGGACACGACTCGGCCGAAACGTGCACTCGCTTGTATTACTTATTTATTGCAATAAATAGACAAAATATGCTTGTGCACGACTACGAACTGCAATTTATTATGTTATTGAATTGTTGCAGTGCGATTCAGCGGACGAAAAGTTTGAAATTAGAAAGTGGATTCGTTATGCAATTACGGGTACTTGGTATTGTGCCAGTTAATTACTATGGAAATTGCGATCTTTGCCTTTTGTACTTTTGGAATGAGCATTTTCCACGTGAATCATTCGTCATTGAGGGAAACATTTCGTCAATGGAGTCAGTCCACACGCAACGGAAATTATAAGGGCCGGTACCACAATGGGGGTTATAATTATACGAGAATTTAATCGGGTCAGAACATGTGGTTGACTTTTTGTAGCTGGAAGTTTGAAAAGCTTTCTCGTTCTGGACTGGAATAACTACAATTGTCATAATTAAAGCAAGGCCACTTTTTCAGTAATTAGTCGTAATGATTTAATAGCTGGATGACTGAATTAAACCGTTAATAATGGGCAGGTGATTAAGTCAATGTAAAAATTTTACCAAGTAGTTAAGTTTATTTGCGACTGGAGGCGACGGCGTCAACATTTTAATTATATTCGGTTTTTTACTGTTAGGATATAGCGTGCTAATTGAATGCATTATGAATTTAAAAAAATTGTGTGAATAGGATCATCAATAAACAATAATCATAATTTAAACCGCTATTACAGACATAGAAATCCTTGGACTTTTATGCAAAAAAGTCAACACATTAAGTCTCTTGTTTATGGGACATCAATAATATATTTTATTTTTTTGTACGTAATTAGCTTGAGTGCGAAAGCAGGAACTTTTTCAAACGAACCAATGGCACTAATGTGGTAATTGTGTGTCGACGCTCGTTAAGCTAATTTCGGGTAGGTAATTAATTTTTCACAGAAAATATTTCGACACGTCGATAGAAAAGTTTTCTATCTGTGAAATGTCAAAGGAGGTCCAAACTGCTGAAAAGAAAGCGCAGCTAGCTGTTCTAATTATGACCTGAAGTGGTGACGAAACGTTCTATTATTTATAGCCGTTTCTATCTCCTCAAAATTTAAATTAAAATTCAACACACTAAAGATCACGCTTAATATTCATTTGCACGAAAAGAAAAACAAATGTGAATTGGAATTATAGAAACCTTAATAAAAATGACTTATTCATTTCTTCCAGAAAGTTGATGACGTCATTTCTCGTTATTTTAGATAAATTTGTATTGATATAAAATCTGAGGTGTGGCGACAATTTTTTAAATGCCAAGAACAATCAATATAAAAATTGTGCAGTCTATATGCTCTTGAAATATAAGAGAAATCCCTGATTGTAAAAAACAAACCACAAATTAGATTAAATCCAACTGGAATCATTAATCGTGGTCGCTTATTCAAACAACACCATATTGCATTAGCACCTCTTGTCTTCTAAGAATCTAACGTTTCGCCACTTTACGACTTATATTCATATTCAGCTATTCAGACACTCCACCTTTCGTTTGATATATTGTTGACTCCAGCAGATGAAAGTTGACTTTACCAAGCGACCCAAAAACGAAATTTATAATTCATGATACCACTCCATTAACGAGAACATGTTCCATTGAAGAAGTACCTCCAGGCAAAAAATGCAGAAATCGCATGTCGCAAAATGCAGCTGATTAATAGAAGATGAAATCGTATGCAGAGAGAGTCGATTTAGCAAATTTATTGCATGTTTTTACCGCGGGCCAAGAAACGGGCACGGGTAGATTTGCATCTAGCTTTTTCTTCCGGTGGTACCGTTTCGGGGAATTTGGTTTTTGGAGTATCGATAACCCTTCACTATCATTTTTTTGATGAATCAGTTTTAATGCTTGTTTTCTTTGTAGCAAAAATGAAGATAATACTTCCGCTAGTCGTTTGGATGTGGCTGCAGAACACGGTGAGTACCACTATCCTTAACCCAGCGACCTTGTGACTTTTGTGCAATAAACTTGCACAAATTATTATCAATTTAAGTAGATTTCTCCGTAATGATGACCATAAAGGCGGCAAAAACCCAAGCGCGTCGTTTCTTCGAAGGTACTTTAGTACCCCGTTTGACGACGCTCGGGATTTAATCATAAACCACGGTACTAGCTGCAATTGCAACAGAAATCGTTATTAAATTATGTCGAAACGCTAATTTGAATACTCCTGATGCGCTTATTAGCAAGGAATGTTTTACGCTTTTGCAAAACCTACCCACTGAGATCTGATAATGTGGTGATGATTCCAGTGTGGGTTTTTTGATTTTCGCGAGTTCAACGATTTTTTAATTTTGGATTTTCGGGCGTGGGCGTCCATCTCCAAAACGGCGAAATTAATGGCTTCTTTACGACTTAAGTATGGGTTTCGTGGACTTGATAAATTAATTTCTTTATATAGGACATGGATAGGTGAGGCAGTCGCCGCTTTGTATGTAAATAATGACCGCCGCTGAAGTTGGTACTATAGATCGCATGGGCGTGCAGTGCCCTATATAGGCAGAAATGATGTGAAGATCGAAGAATCCAGAATGCGTTTTTCTTCAATGCACCTGCACTTGGTGCTCGGTGGCATTTCCGCTTCTTCGCCACTCATATCCGCTGTCTCCAGAGGAAGATCACGTACTTCCTGTTTGCTATTGTGTCTCAAAGTCATTGACGTCGCAGGAATTTTTAATACTTTGCTGTCTCACGAATTTCCAAGAAAGGCATCTGCGAATTCAAACACCGCGATGTAGTGAGTACCGAGGTGACAAGTGTTTTCCTCTAACCGAAAATCCTTGACATTTACGTTGTCGGAGTGGGTTTTCTCAAAATTTACACTTCTGTGACACCCACACGCAGCTTTGAACGCTTTATTGCTCAAAAAACACGACTCATGACAATAGAATGTGAAATAATAGAGCCGACACGTCGCGTATTGCCAATTTATTTATTCAGCTGAAAAAATCTTATTTAACGAGTGACCACAGTGTGCTTTCGCCGTGCTACTGCGGTTCTTACCTATTGTAACGAGGTACTTGTGTGTTCAGTCGCTCGAGAAGCACGGTTTTTAATTGTGTTGCGACAAAAAAGCAAAGGAAAAAGCGTACAAGTATCTAGTATTAGCGACAATGTCTCTTCGGAGATAATTATAGAAAATTTAGACGGATAATTGCGTATGCGTCAAGGACGTCTACTGACCTAAAATTTGCTTGCATTGACAGACTTGTAAATTGTTAAGTACCATTACACACGTCAAAGAACAATGACACCTACGCCATTGTGCTCTAACTGCTCCGTTTCGTAGGGCTGTCATTATTCGCGAAACTGGGAATTAAACACTCGCAGAATAAAACAACTGTGATTGACTTGAAGGACACTTGAACTATAACGGATTAGGAATGTTATTATTTTTGGGAGTTGCGAAATCGATAATTAAATTACCGTTTCTAGCCGAGACAAGAGCAAAGCGGTGTGGTTATGACTTCATTAAATCGATAATCGCTTTAATTTTCTCTCCGTGTGAGATTTTTTTCTGCAATTAAGCTTTCTAGATTTGTGGCAACAAGTTGAGCGCTTCCGACCTTCCACCTCGATCGTCCATTCCATCCTCATTCCCAAAATCTGAATATCCTCGTGCTTATCTGAAAGTGAGATCAAAACGTGCGCTTTCGTCAGAAGTCATCCTCAGACATCCGTAACAGTAAAATGAAGAATGTCACAGAGCATAAAGTTTGTTGACCGATCGCAGATGACAAAAAGCCGTTTGCATAAGTTTATTGCTTCACAGCAAACAGAAAATTCAAAGCACACATCCGCCTACGATTTTCGATTTGCAAAAGAGGTCACAGACTTCGCAAAGTTCCGACATTTTTTGGCAGGTGCACTATTCGAATTTTGCCCCAGGCCACCTATTAACAGTTACTTTTCTAAATGAGTTGTCGAATTTCGAAAATAATGATGTACCAGTACAAAGCGATTCCGTTACCATAGGTGGATTCCGATTCGGTAACGAAGCTCATTCCGAGGATGCAAAACCTGTGAAATCGGGAAGGCAGGCTCTTTCGTAAGCACAACAATCGAAAGTACTGCGGAAAATGTTATATTTAAAAGTAAAAGGAGCGCGATTTAATATAATCGAAACTGTAATTAAATATAGGCGAGTTGAGCGGAACGCCGAAACGAGGGCACGGTTCTTCGAGGAAGCCGGTGGACGACGCGAGCAGCAACCTGTGTATTCACAAATTTTTAACCCAGGATTGCTTCTCGATGCAAATACCCTAGCCTTCGTGAGCGGTACAAACCTCTCCGTCATCCACCAGCCATCCGTAAACAGCCCGCCAACGTGCACTAAGTAATATTAATGAAGACCTACTGTGTATAAATATGCATGATCCACTCCATCATCCGTGACACGTAATAAGACAATCCCTTTTTGAAAAATCTTCAAAACGAAGCAGTAGAAGGCACAGCACGAAACCGGAACCAATACATTGTGTTTAAATACCTATGTGGTAAATGGATCTTCTTTTTGCTTCATGTGTGTTGTCGAAGTGGTCGATGACTCGCGGTTCAAGAACTATAATTTGTAGTAAACGTGTGAAACAACAATTGCCGTTATGGACAGATCTGTTCGAGAAAAAGTGAGGACTGCAGCGATCGAGAGTTTTTTCTGAGGAGTTTCCGTTTTCATGGCCTTTAAACCACAAGGAGGAAGTAGCGTTCGACCATGTCGCCACAAACAAAAAGCAGGTGCATGAATGAAGCGAGTGGATATGCAACAACGGGCGCGCGTTTTTGGACCAAGAGGGTGAAGATGGCAGAAGAACCGAATGAAGACACTCGATTAGAAAGAGATAGATACATTAATCGCTGATTCAAAATTCCAATTTGTAAGACTTAGTTAGCTTGCGAAGCAGCCCCGTAGCTAGAAAACTTATTCAGGGGGGGCAAGTTTGTCGACAGAGGGGGCTTCATGTAAATATTTATATTTTAATAATACACTCAGATAACTACTTTATTTTTTCTGAGTTTTTATATTTGAAAGAACATTAAAATAATTGGAAACGACGATTTTTTACGCTAAATTTTCGTAAAAACCTGTCGAAGTCCAAAAAATTAGTACGGTACTTGGTTAAAATGCTGGTTAAAACAGATAATGTAGATTCACAAACAGCTGTACTGCATCCAAAAATTTGTGTAGTGACCATATAGGTAACATCCAATTTGTTTGAGTTTATTTTTTTGCATGTTTAGTACATATTTTAAAAATCCGACTTCGAAACCAAATATTTCGAAAATTTTGGTACGGAACCATGAACTCGTCATGTTTTTTTAAACTCGTCGAGATGTGTATTTCAGAATTTTTTGTCAACTTTAACAAAAGCTCAATTTTTGGAAACCCATATAAAATTTTTGACTTTTCCCAAGCATTTTCGAAAATTACCAAAAGAATTCCTTTGTTCATCTCGATTTCTTCCAAAAATCGTTTTGGATTCAATTTTTTTGAAAATTCTTACATTTTTTGCAGAATCGACGGAAGAAAAATGGCAATTTTTGAGAACCTGTATCAAATTTTTGACTTTTTTCAAGCACATTCGAAATTACCAAAAGGGATTCCTTTATTGATTTCGATCTCCAGATGTTGTTTTTGGTTGTTTTTTCGAAAATTCGTACAATTTTTCCATAATCGCCAAAAGAAATATGGTAATTTTTGAGAAATTTTGAAAATTCCAGCTCGAAACCGAGTATTTCGAAAATTTTGATCCGGAACCTTGAACCTGTCATGTTTTTTTAAGCTCGTCGAAATCAATATTTCAGAATTTTTTGTCAACTTTTACGAAGTTCAATTTTTGAAAACCCATATAAAATGTTTGGCTTTTCCCAAGCATTTTCGAAAATTACCAAAAGAGATTCCTTTGTTCATCTCGATTTCCAGAAATCGGTTTGGATTCAATTTTTTTGAAAATTCTAACTTTTTTTCCAGAATCGACGGGAGAAATATGGCAATTTTTGAGAACCTGTGTCAAATTTTTGACTTTTTTTCAAGCACGTTCGAGATTACTAAAAGGGATTCCTTTATTGATTTCGATCTCCAGATGTTGTTTTTGGTTGTTTTTTCGAAAATGCGTACAATTTTTCCACCATCGCCAAAAGAAATATGGTAATTTTTGAGAAATTTTGAAAATTCGAGCTCGAAACCGAGTATTTCGAAAATTTTGATCCGGAACCATGAACCTGTCATGTTTTTTTAAGCTCGTCCAAATCTATATTTCAGAATTTTTTGTAAACTTTTACGAAAGTTCAATTTTTGAAAACCCATATAAAATTTTTGACTTTTCCCAAGCATTTTCAAAAATTATCAAAAGAGACTCCTTTGTTCATCTCGATTTCCAAAAATCGTTTTGGACTCAATTTTTTTGAAAATTCTTACAATTTTTCCAGAATCGACGGAAGAAATATGGCAATTTTTGAGAACCTGTATCAAATTTTTGACTTTTTTTTAAGCACGTTCGAGATTACCAAAAGGGATTCCTTTATTGATTTCGATCTCCAGATGTTGTTTTTGGTTATTTTTTCGAAAATTCGTACAATTTTTCCACAATCGCCAAAAGAAATATGGTAATTTTTGAGAAATTTTGAAAATTCGAGCTCGAAACCGAGTATTTCGAAAATTTTGATCCGGAACCATGAACCTGTCATGTTTTTTTAAGCTCGTCCAAATCTATATTTCAGAATTTTTTGTCAACTTTTACGAAAGTTCAATTTTTAAAAACCCATATAAAATTTTTGACTTTTCCCAAGCATTTTCAAAAATTATCAAAAGAGACTCCTTTGTTCATCTCGATTTCCAAAAATCGTTTTGGATTCAATTTTTTTGAAAATTCTTACAATTTTTCCAGAATCGACGGAAGAAATATGGCAATTTTTGAGA